ATTACAGGGTCAAATAGTTGGTTGAAACTCACTTGATGAAGCTAATAATTAGCACAACCATCTCTTAAGATAAATTAGTTTTTAAGATTTTCAATGTGATGAAAATAAAAGTAAATGGAGATTTGAGTCTACAAAAAATCATTTTATACAAATGGGTCTTTTTCTCGCACGACAAACACGGGTGGCGTCTAAAGATGTTTAAGTGAATATAAACATTAATTGCACACCATCAGAGAGAGAATTAAGAGAGAAAAAAAATAATAAGATGATGCGCATTTCATCATACTACATATGATTTCTCGGTCTTCATCATTCGATGTTCGAAAATGAAAAGTATTTGATTGCATGTATTTGGGAAGGAATGAAGTCATTACGACATTAGTATAATGGTTGCCATCATAATTAAGCCATCCCTCACTCCTACAAAATAGTAGTAGGATTATTCCGATCGTCGAACTACACAAACTTTTAATATCAAAGTTAAATTAGAGTAGATTGAAAATCTATATCATTTTTATTTAAAAAGTGTGATATTTAACTAACTAACACTTCATTTGTCCCAATTTAAATGTTGCTTATGGGGAATATTAATTTTTTTCGAGACATGTGAAACATGCATTGTTCTTCTCAAAAGTTACTAAGTTGCCCTTTTAAGTTTTGAATATTTAAATTTAAAATTCACATATATGGAGAAATATAAAATATATTATTTGAAAAAAGAAAGTGGATAATTATTTTAAGACAGCTCAAAAAAAAAAAAAAAAAAAAAAGAAGAAGAAGAAGAAAGGTGGACACTTTTTTGTTTTTTAAGATGTAGAGAGTATAATTTTATTTGAATTAAATTGTGGCAACAATCAAAATGTGCCACATGCACCTCACCAAGCCTTATAAAGAACAAAATCTTTTCGGTCATGCCACTAATTAGCAAAAATGATTAACATCACCAATTTTTTCATCATGTTTATCTTGAATGACATTGTTTGCAAGTGTTGGATGAAAAAGTAACTTTGTGTGGTAGGCCCTTGAATAGCGAGGGAAATAACAAGCAAATGATATCGCTACGTAATTCGACATAGACATTATGACAAAATTATTTCGTGATGTGCATTGCTAACATGGGCCTCTAATATGAGCCTAAACAGGTCGGTACTTAAAAAACATTCATTCTGATAAATGAACTAATCATTTGTGATGTTCCTGCACCCATTTATTAATTAACAACGATGTGTCCACAACATATTCCTCCTAATAAACCGTAGTTCTCTCACAAAACGACTTGGCCAAATTCTTGTGTTTGAGTTGGTATTGATACCACTTTCACAATAGGTGACTGCACACTCAAAAGACCCAAGTCATTTGTGCCATTTATTAACCCCAAAATCATCATGTAGACACTTGATATGTGATATAAGTATATATAATAGGGTATATTACACTTGCATTCCTTGAAATTTGGGCAAATTATATATCAGTAGACTATTCAATGTTTATTACTTTTCATACTCAAAGTTATTTTCCGGCCTCCGGTGTACCGATTTATGAGAGGTCAAAGTGATAGAAGTTGAACAGTCTACCAACAGTGTAGTTTGTCCAAATCTCAAAAAGACGTCAGTGTAATTTACTGTATATAATATATTCGCTTCTTTGACACTATTATTGATTGAGATACGTTCTAATTTGAGTTTAGTTCGAGTTAAAAACTTAAAACTATAAATACCACCTTAGAATTAAATGAGTTGGGTGGGGGTGTTCATTTGATCCGTCACTTCGTGTAATCCATCCAATTAACTTTAACTTGGTTACAGATTCACAAACAAAGAATTTACAGCCCATAAATCGATTAACAAATTGGGGTCTTACAAAACTGATTAAATTGGTTAATCAATCCATTCAAATTTACAGAACTAATATATATATATATATATATATATATATATATATATATATATATATATGCACTATTTTTATTTTCTTTATTCTGTTATTATTTTAAGTTTTACTAACTTTTAACACTCAATACCTCTTAACTTTTAAGTTTTACTGACGGTTGAAAATTCATCTAGTGGGCAATGGTTTAATATAATAATATTGGACTATTTGGAAAAAATCTAATTCATAGAACCAATCAGATCTCAATCCGTAAAGTAACGAATCAAATCAAATTGAATTGGATTCAATTTTCACCAATCCATAGGGATCGGATTGAATTAGGTTTAATGCCTAATCCGATCCGATCTATAGCCACCCCTAGAGTTGTTGTATTTATCTTTTAATCTGTCTAAATTACACGCTTTACTGTTAGGTTTAAATTTCATAACTAACATGTAGAAATAAAAAAATATTGTAGTAATTAAAGAAAGTAATATGGCAATTGTATTGTATGCAATTGCGTGAATAAGGGTTTTGATGATAACAGGAGAATGGGACATTCTTAAGTCACTCTTCTCATCATAAAAACTTAGATACCAATAGCAAGTCTTAAATCTCACTAAATAAAATTGAAAAAACACAATCTAAAATAATAATCTTAATTAGACTACAAAATTAAAAAGTACAACCCAATATATTAAATATCGATAATTACATTACAATCCTATTTTAGAAAATTTAGTGCGTTTATGTAAAAAATTCCCCACAATCGTGACTCCATGTGACAGAAGGTTGGAAAATGATACTTATGATCATTACAAATTTTGATAATTCTCATCCCAAATTGTTTCATTAGTTTCACTTAATTTATTCTCATGACATGCATCATATGAATTGAAAGAGAGTTTATCGGATTAGGGTTTGATCAATTTTTAAATGAGTTTAAAAACCCTCCCTAGACCGTGCAATTATAAGAGCCTTGTACACCTAACGTCCTTACACCTAAACCATGGTGATTTAATCTACTCGCATCAACCATATGCATTGAAAGAAGGTTCACCATATTAATTAGAATCCCACCGATTCTTATATGAGTTCAAAGTGTTCACACTAGGATTTTAACTATGACAATGAATGGCTGAAATTGAAGCCCATTAAAGAGTCCCACAATTTTTACAAAATCATATAATATGGGGTTAAATGCAAAAAACCCCCCTGAACTATTGGGGTTTTGCAAGAAACCCCCCTGAACTAAAAAAAAACCCCTAAACTATTGTTTTGTTACAATTTACCCCATCAACTCACCGGAAAAGACAAAAGACAATTTTACCCTTAATGTAAAACGGCATAGTTTTGATCTTTAGCCTATTAAATTGCTGATGTGGCTAAGTGAAATTAGAGCAACCCATCTGAATGCGACAACACAGCAAGAGATAAGTTTCCACATTATAAACAACACGTGGCATAATTTTGTTGGCATCAAACAAAACAAATGAACCTTTACTCTTCCTTCCTTATTCACGATTAACTGTGCAACCAACAACCAAACTCTCTGCAGCAATTTTTTTTTTGGGTAGAATCTGTACAACATCATTTTCCTTGGGGGAAACCACAACCAACGACGACCACCGTCATCCGCGTAGCTGGAATTACGTCAACACAATTGAGCCTATCCCTTACTGCCTCAAATCAACTTTCTGCCGTTGTCAAGCACCGGGAAGGAACAGAGGCTGATTTGAGCAAAGCTGCCGTTGTGAAGAAGAGGAGAGGAACGGAGGCCGGACCAGTGCTGCGTCGGTTTCGGGAAGGAGCGGTGGGTCAGTTTCTGGAGGGGGAAGCCGTCGTAGTGCTTCGCTACCCCCGCCGACGACCTTCGGTCTCCTCTCTCGACTGGTTTTACTCTAGTGAGCCGGATCGATGACCTCCTACTCAGCCAATGAGCTGTTCTTGAATGATCCGGCCGAGGCGATAGTGTTTTCCATGTGGGAAGGTGTAGTTGTGGGGACGGTGGTGACGGTATCATCGGCGGGGATGGCAAGAATGGTGGAGGAGTTGGTTTGGATTGTGACGCGAATGGGTTCACAATGGCCATGGTGATTATGATGGATATGGATATGGATATGGATAGAATCTTACCAACGTCGATGTGTACTCGCCTGATCTATCGCCATCGGACGTGGTACTCGCGGCTCTCTGGTCTTGGCTCTGTCAGTGGATATATATATATATATATATAGGCATATGTCTTTTGTATCTTTTCTTGCATGAATAATTAAAATTTGTTTTGTGATTGAGGTGTAAATTAGGTATCATTGATGCAAGCATTGCAGGAATCAGTTCACACATTGAGAGCGATTGATATGTATGAGGATGATTTGGGAAATTATTTAAATTTTTTCTGAAATTGGGTTAGGGTTCTAAGTATTTTGGTTGTGCATTGACGATTGAGAGGTATGAGGTTGGCTATATATAGAGTGTTCTACTACAGGACACTCTGCGCCGACACTGCCGATGAACAGCTGACTCATCGTTGATGCATTTCCTGAGAGATTCGAACTGAAGGTTTGGGGATTTGAGGCCCATATTTCCCTTTTTTCGCTTTCACGATTGTGTAATTTTTCTTCTGTGCTGAACACAATTTTTTATTTTTTTATTTTTTAAATCAGAAAGCATAAGCACACTGTGAAAAGATGAACAGTGTTTATAACCACACATCTGTTTGTATTGACGATGAACAGTGTGTATTTTAGCATAAGGGCGTGTTTGGGTGTTTTAAGTGGTTTTGGGTGCAAAGGTCATATAAGGGGCATTAGCGTCTTTTCATGCTCATAAGGGCATCATGGTCATTAAAATTATAGTGTGGCACTTTAACGGTGAGGTCTGACCGGAGCCTCGCCGGATGGGGCAAACTGCAACAAAAATCATAGTTTAGGGGGTTAGTGGCAACTTTAGTAGTTTAGGGGGGTTAGTTGCTAATTCCTTAATAGTTCAGAGGGGTTTTTTGCATTTAACCCTATAATATGAGATATTTTGAATCCAATAATTTTAATACTATTGCGTGACAAGGTGAAATGGACACAAAACGGTTTCTCGTGATGAATGGTGTGGGATTTTTTTTTTTGGTTGTCTACCATGAGAGTCCATTAGGTTTAACTAGTCATTCTTTCACGCTCTTTGAACGCGTGAGTGTCGCATTCTAAGTGCTGTTTAAAGTAATCCACCACGAAGCTTCATCGTCAACGCCATTTTATCTTGGTCCTCCATTGCAACAACTTACTTTCTGAGAAACCAAACACTTTCACAATTTTAACCAATAAACAAAATTCAATGACATTTTGGTCTTTATTTAAATAATCTATCTCCTTCTCTCTGGTAAGAAAAACAAAAACCACCAGACAAATACCCTCTTTTCTTCTTCATCTTCTTCTTCTTCTTCACACCTCTTATTTTAATTAAGATATCTTCTCTAATAATCTCTGATTTAATTAAACTCTCTCTTCCTCCAAACTGTGTGACTGTGTGTGTTGCGATATGGAGGTATTCAATAAAGCTAAGGCTGTCAAACTCCGGGGCCACCTCAACAAATACCTAGTCGCCGACGACGACCAACAAAAAGTCCGGCAGAGCCGCCACGGCTCCACACGTGGAGCGCGGTGGCTGGTGGAGCTCGTGGAAGGCAACAGCCACGTCGTCCGACTCAAAAGCTGCCACGGCCGCTACCTCACCGCCTCCAACGTCCCTTTTCTTCTCGGCATGACCGGACACAAGGTGCTCCAAACCCTACCGCCTAGCATGAAGGACCTCACGATTGAGTGGCAGCCCATCCGGGACGGGTTTCAGACGAAACTCAGGGCTTTCGGAGGGACCTTTTTACGTGCAAACGGAGGGACGCCGCCGTGGAGGAACTCCGTCACCCATGACAGTCCTTATTATGCCACTTCAACCCAAAATTGGGTTCTGTGGGACGTGGAAGCTGTGGATGTGCCGGAAAACGACTCGCTAAAGGAATATTTGTCCATGCTTTCCACCGTTTCTTCGCTTTCCGATGAGCTGTTCGGGTCGGAGTTTGGCTCTCCGATGTCAATACACTCCTCCTATTCCCCTGCAAAGTCGTCCATGAAGAATAAGGTATGCTTTCTTGTTTTATTTAAATTGAGCAATGTTATTTTGGCTTATTTATCGTAACAAAATGATTTTTTTATAATAATTTTAAAGATTATACAGGTCAATCATAAGTCGACACACAAATTAACAAATGTGTAAACTTTATTCAAATTCTTAATTATCAATGGGGTATCTAATTTTGATTTATTAAAACTATGTAGTTAGAATCATATAATAATTTTCTAAGCTCAGTGTGAATGTCATGACTCTTGTTAGAAGCCCTTTGTTACGGGGTTGGGAACCCCCTTGACACCCTTCCAGTATGTAATAAGTTTGAGAAACCGATTTAGAAATCATTTTTCATTTAAATTTCCTACCATTAGTCTATTAGAAGAAAGTGATGTTTTTGATTTTTTTTTTGGGTTTTCTTCCACGGATCAGTTTCTAGGCCGGTTAAATGATAACAGAAATAGTGATAAGGCATGAATGTTTGATCGATTTGATATGAAGATAGGTTTAGTGATTGTCAATTTTGGCAGCAGACCAGAGACAAGCCGCGTGCCGATGAAATGAATTATTTGTGGGTCATATACAACTATAAAAGTATATATATGTTCACAGACGTTAGCATAAGTTGAAGAGACTTGACGGCTCGACCCCGAAAATAGACACCAGATAGAGTTTTTACAGATATGGACAAGATAATATTGTAACCAAATTTAAAAAAAAAATAAAAATTAGAAGAATAAATAATACAATAAAATATAAATAAAAAATAACTTTTACTTCTTTTATTAAGGTTATCGTAATCACTACTCCTTAATTTAGAGTTTAGAAGTTAGAACTACATGGATTTTGTTGGTATTTTCTAAGACTTTATATTATTTTACTAATTAACCCATAATATGTTTTGAATTTATATATCTTGGAATTATTTTTTAAAAATATCCTAATTAGGCGTCTCCATTTTATCCCAATCATGGGTGTGTGTTTACTTAACCCTTCATAAAAAATAAAACAAAATAAATAAATAAAAATATAATGCACACTCAAATAATAAAACAAAATAAATAAATAAAAATACAATGCACACTCAAATAAAAACATTGATATTGCACTTATTCAAGTGTGTAAATGATAAAAAGAGGCAATATTTGTATAAAAGAAAAAGTATATTTTGGAAGAATAAGCCACTGGCCGAATTTAAATAGAGTATCAATACGTATTTTGGAGTGTGTGAAGGATTTTATTTTTCATATATTTTTAGTTTGAATATGATTTCCTATATGATTAGAAATATGAACTTTTAATTCAATCTACAAAGAGTAAAAAGATAATTGATTATGATATTGGTCCTACATGACGCCCACCAAGTGTCCAAACAAACTTTGGGAAGAAAATTAAATGTTCTCCACATTAATTAAAAGTAAAAAAGAAAGCCCACTACTTGAAGAAAGTGAAAGTAAGTCACTTCCTCTTGTTTTGTGACTTAATTTAACAATATTATCCACTTTAAGAGTTGTTAAGAAATGAACTTAAATCCGAGATCATGACTGGTTGTTATATAGATTCAGTGCCTATAAATTTATATGATTGTTTATGGTGCATTAATTTATTAATAGAGAATCAAAGAAAATTTATATAGTTTATAAATAGTGCATGATCCACTTTACTGCCCAGGAAGCACTAGTTTGTGTGTGTGTATATATATATATATCACATCCCTGGTGGCTAGGAATTGGATCTAGTTAATGAGATGAGTTGGATTTTTTTGACTTGGGCTTTTGACCATTTATTAGAACATTTTCTTCCACGTACACCATTTATTATACTATTAGCTAGCATAATGTAATTGAACCCGGCCCAAGTTTATAACTCGTTTATTCGATATATATATATATATATATATATAGCGAGAGAGAGAGAGAGAGAGAGAGAGAGAGAAACATTAGACATAGGGAGAGAGAGAGACAATATATATACGGGCGCACATGTTCAGCAGAGCAAAAGAGAGAGTGAGAGGAGAGAGTGACGATGGGATTTTTGAGAAATTAGGTTATAAAAAGGATAGTACTGCCTTTTAACATTTATAAGGGTATTTTAGTCATTTAAAAAAATGTAAGAGACAAAATGTAATATAGGGGTGGTTATTTGTTGATTTGGTATAACTTGTGATTTATTTATTTATTTATTTATTTATTTGCACTTTACCTAAAATGTAATTGGAAAATCACCCAATCATGTCCTTAAATGAACTCAAAATATGTCCATAATGTGTTCAAAAGCTTAACAATGCTTTACCTTGAAGTGGCCAACCAAAAAACAATAGAGAGCTCTTCGACTGCGTTAGCCAAAGGCATTGCAACCCTAGCTTAGGTGAAGGTGAGACCAAAGATGGTCTCACTTTCATGTATTCTAGGGCAACCAAGTGGAAGTTATGAAGAATAAGTTTGAATCCACAAATATATGCAAAGAAAAATATGATAATATTATTAGGGTTGTGATATTTGCGCTTCAAAATTAGTCTACAACGCTTCAACCCTTTTTTCAAAAATATAAAATGACGAAATTACTTCTTAATAATCCCTCGAGAATTTCTTCACCATCCCTAGTTCCTCTTTATGGTGCATATTTGCTTTCTGTCAATTTGATTTTGTTTGTTTATTTATTTATTTATTCTTTTTTGAGAAGATAGAAGCTTGAAACTCAAAAAGACCCAAATATTAATCTCTAACAGCTTGAAACCAGAAAAAAAATTCAAAATTTAATCTCTAAGCAAGCATATCTTATATGGTTCATATTTGTAAACCACTTTGTCCTCCTCTTTTAGGTTAAATTGGAAACTTCAAGGTTATATCTGTGATTTCATTTATAAAAATAGAAGTGGAGTGCCTTAGGATTTTTTTGGAGTGCCAATATCACCTCCCTAATATTAATATATTCACTATGATAAATAAACCTCAATGCTCTCTTAGGTAAGAAATAAAAAAATTGAATGAATGAGACATTCTTAGCGAAGAGCATCTATATATATATTTTTTTTTGTTCGGTTCGATAGAAGAGAAGAGAATAAGCTTGTAATTTTCTATATTCTTTACTAAAGAAGGAAAATTTTAATTGTATATATCATTATATTCAATAATATTAATTTATAATATTGTAATTTATAGAAATATTATTGTAATTTACTTCTTGTATAATTTATGATAATATATAATTTAAAATTTCTACGACATTCCTCATCTTCTCTCATTTCTTCTGTTAATTTTTGGCAGGTAAAAATTTGTAAATAATGAAGAATGGATTATCATTTCTATTATTATTTATTTTCTTCGTATCATTCTTACCGAACAAATGAAATTTATTCATTCCTTTTTATTTTTTCTATTCACCTCTCTCTTCTTTTCTACCAAACACAACGCAAGAAAGTTGAACATTTGTCCAAAATAAACCTAATAATTTAAACTTCTCTAATAAAAATCACTTTAAAAGATTAAAAAGTGGAAAGAAAATAAATATTTTTAGGATCTTAAATAATAAAATTTTATAAAAAAAAAAATAACACCGATCATCAGCAAAGTTGGGTAAGTTAGGACTCGTCAGAAGTAGAAAAAATGCGTCAGAGATTTGAAAATTAATTCTACAGGTCAATGTACTAAGGTAAGTTTTGTAGGCTTAGATATAGAATACACCTGGTCTAAAATTCTTAATACACGCGTGAACATTCAACACGACCACGGTCCCAATAAAAAAAATTCCAACATGAACACGCCACCTACACAGAATTACAGAAATGTCCATCATTTCTATCCCTATCCCTATCCCCTAACTGCCTGTAACGATGCCATGTCAGCAATGGACCCCATACTGAATCTGTTTGTGCCACCTTTTTACCAAACATCAACGGCTCAGATGCCTCCAATTGTCATAACTCTAATTCAAATCACACTTTGGGAATTTTTTATATGCTCCCGGCTCATAGTCTCAGCCATTTAACTTTAAATACTGTTTAATAAATACTGTTTAATAGTTATTGTTTGAGAAATTATTTATTTATTTTTTATTATATTAATACTGAATAAATTATTAAATTTATCCTAAATCATAATAATTTAATTATTTACTATGTATAACTAAGATTAAATTAGTAAATTTTTTTTTTTTAAAAAATTACTACAATTCACATCCAAATCCGTTCACTCGGTTTCATCCAAATAAGGTAACTCACGCCCACGTGATGGCCACGTAATCTTAATTAGAGTGAAAGCCTCGTTTGGCTGGCGGTGACTGTCTTTGCTTTCTCTCTAAAGTCTAACCTATACATACATACCTATATATATATATATATATATCTATAGATATATATTCACTCGCACTTAGAATACAAATTATACAAATACAAGAGACGAAAACAAGGCCTGGTTGTCTGAAAACAAAGTTATACTGTTGTGATCATTTTTACTCATTTTGTCAAACCTCTACCAAACACTAGTGATCTGTAATCAATCAACAACCATTTTTGCATTCATTTCTGATCTCTCAGATCTCAATTTTGTTTCTCAGACCATCGGAATGGATCTGTTTCACAACGCCAAGGCGGTCCGTCTCCGGGGCCACCACGACAAGTACCTCCACGCCGACGACGACGAAGAGTCGGTCACCCAAGACCGAAACGGCTCCTCCAAGAACGTGCGATGGACGGTCGAGTTCGTCGACCGACCCAGCTCCGACGACGACAATATCAACAGCAACAACATCATCCGGCTAAAGAGCTGCTTCGGCAAGTATCTCACCGCCTCCAACCACCCCTTCCTTCTCGGCATGACCGGCCGGAAAGTCCTCCAGACTCTGCCCCCACGCCTCGATTCGTCGGTCGAGTGGGAACCCATTAGAGAAGGGACACAGGTCAAGCTCAAGACCCGTTACGGCCAGTTCCTCCGCGCCAACGGTGGTCTGCCGCCGTGGCGCAACTCCGTCACGCATGACATACCTCAACGGACCGCCACCCAGGATTGGATTCTCTGGGATGTTCATGTCGTCGAGATTGTGGTTCACTCCCCTGCTCCTAGACCCCCTCCGGTGCTCCATTCAGATTCATTTGCCTCCGAATCGAGCTCTCCTTCCAATCATTCCACTGAGTACAACAGCTTTTCAAGACAAGAGGTTTGAATTTCATCTCGAGATTGACATTTCGATGTTCAATCAATCTTGGGTGTTTGATTTTTGGTTTTTTTATTTTGTGCTTTGTTAATTTGTTCTGTATCTGCAGATGGGTGATTCTGTGGTGGGTTCACCGGCGATTTCAAGACAAGAGGTTTGAATTTCAATTATAAATTGACATTAATTACAATGTTGAATGTTTAATCAATCTTGGGTCTTTTGATATTTAGGTGTTTGATTTTATGCCCATGTTAATTTGTTCTGTATCTGCAGATGAATAATTCTGTGGTGGGTTCGCAGGCGAAGGCGACGGATGGTCGGACTATATATTACTATGTTGCAGATGAATTTGGGGAGGTTGATGAGGGTGTGGAGGGTTTATGCATTGGTTTTAAGGGGAAGGGGGTTGATGAATTGACTCATAGGTTGGAGGAAGAGACGGGCCTGGATGACATTATTGTGTGCTCACGGAGTCCGTTGAATGGGAAGCTTTACCCCCTCCGTTTGCAGCTACCGCCGAACAATGTGACTTTGCACGTTGTTGTAGTTGAATCCTCATCGAAAGGTCAGTTTGTTTTTTTGAGCTAGTACTGATGTTTATGCTGTTTTACTCAATTGTGTGTTGTTTTTAATGCTATTTGTATCAGTTTGTCAAATGCCTTGATCTTGATAGAACTTGAGAGCTTTGATTCGTTTGGATAGCATACACTTAACTTTGAAGACACTATGGGGTTCTATGAAGTCTAAAACTCTGTATAGTGTGCAAAACAATCACCTACTATGACAATATTTGTTTTATTACCATGTCAATTTATCCTCAAAATTTCGGGACTTGAGATTTTTGATCAAAAATTGATTTTGGGGTTTTTATGTTGTGAATCTTACTGGCTAGGGGTTATATCTGATTAGTGAAGTGTTTGTAATCTAACGTTGCCTTTGATCAATTGATAATTTTGTTGATCTTCCTTGTAATCCACTAATCGCAGAAAGTTTAATTTGAGTTGATCTTCCTTGCAATCTATAGTATCTCATAAAGTTTAAATTGGAGGTTCAGTTATTGAGGGAACAATTATAATGGAGTTCACAAGTTAACACTCCTTTATCGGTTTTGGTGAAAATGGAGAAAAATCGAGCAATCCAATTGATTAATGGATAATTAGTTGGTTTTTCTTGTAATCTATGCTATCTCAGAAAGTTTAATTTGGAGGTTCAATTATTGAGGGACGAGTATAATGGAGTTCACAAGTCAACACTCCTATATCGGTTTTGGTGAAAATGGTGAAGAATCGAGCAATACATTATCATAGAACTATGTTTTCACATTTATATACTAGTAATAGAATGGAATTTTCTGAATTCAAAAAGTGTTCTTCATCATGGAGACTATGGAGCTAACGAGAGTAGTATTGTTGGCAATTGTACATATAAGTTTAGGCAAAAAAGTGGTTCCTCTTTTTGAAGGTCTGTGTCTTGGGAGAATTGAATTAGCACTTTTATGGGTATTTTAGCATCCAATTTTGAATTGAAGTGTTCTCTTGTTACTTAGACGGTGCCTTTTCAGGATGGTGAGTCTGTATGTGCTCATTTAGATTTGGTTGACTTTGCTAGTTACTTACTATTAGTTTCTTTTTCTTTTTTTCCTGAAAAACTATGGCTTTCTTTAGTTACTCTATTTCTTGTTTATCATTGTATGGCTCATACATATATTTCTTCCATCAGTTGAGTAGCTTTTTGACAAGATTTTTTTTTTGGTGGGGGATAGTTAAGCTCTACACGACAGACCCTTACCCTTAGGGGGACTTGAACCCTCAACCTTCCATTTTGAAGGAGGAGGGGGTACCACATGAACCAGAGTCTGGTCGAGGGATGTTAATATATTTTTGGAAAAATAACACGGAAAAGGCATTCAATTTTGAAACAGTTGTAATAGTTTGTATTCTAAAGAATGATGACTCAGAAAAATCTTGACTGATGATACTTCATTTTTCTCTCTGCTTGCTAGCACCATTTTTCGTGACTACATTTTTTCTTTTTTCATTTTTCAATTTTTTTTTTCATTGGATTTATTGGTTGCATTCTTGAAATCTTTTTACTTACACGTCTTCCTTCTCTTTTGTATAACAGTGGCAAGAGAGTTTGCGAAAATAGGAGCTCCATTATAAAACCTGCCACAATATTTTCGGTATGATACAAATACAGATACAACTTGGGAATTTGTACATTCTGCTTCAGGTCTGTCCGTATGCTTGCTGGAACAAAGAATAAGTTAAGAGCGGATTGCTTCTCTATCTTAGTTAAACTTAATACAGCATAAATAGATGTCTGGTGACATTGTAGCAAAAATCACCGTTGCCTTATCTATAATGCTCTCTTTTTGGGAACTTCCACAGTACTTTTTGTTATTTGAGAGGTTTATGGTTCTTTTTTTGGCATCTCCTGCTGGTGTAGTTTTCTCTTCAGGGGTTAGTAAAACTCAGTTTGTTGTAAATAATTTTTGAGCTCATATATATATATTAGGTAAATACTCAGGCGCGCACTCGCAGATGCCCGCCATGGAGATCCAACTCCTCAATATCTATATATATATATATAGTATTATTTTTAAATTTATTATCCTGTCAAAGTAAAGGAGGGAGACTTGAACACAAGCACACCCTCTCGGGGAGTTGAGGGAGGAGAGGTCATACCTGGGCTGTTGGCCTACCAAGCACTTACCCTCTCGGGGAGTTGAGGGAGGAGAGGTCATACCTGCTGGGTTAATACAGTTTTTGTGTGTGAGATTCACTTAGCAGATTTTTTAACATTATCCATTCATTGCTTGCAAACTAAGAACAAACTCTTATTCAATTTTCTGTACAATTTGCTTTGTGTGAAAGTAACAGCACAGGAGCATGGGAAGCCAAGTCAAACAGGTATTGTGAAAGGGAGGTGCGAACAAAGGTCATTTATGAACATTGGCATATTCCAGCTGGATCTATCTATAGTGTGTCCCATGAATAAAGAAAGATGTGCATACAAATTATCCCATGACTAGCGGGCTAGGGGAAGATAATTCAAAGAAAACCCTAGGCTGATAAAGATGGAATTAGAATTTTTTTTTTGTTGGAATATAAAAATTTGTTGTTTTCTGCAACATGAATCTGGATCATCTGTACTTTCTAGTGGGAACGGTTAGGATCACTGTGCATTTTAGTGGAAATGGTTAGAGCACCCGGTAGCCAGTGGGCTCGTTGAAGGAGTGCAGTTTCATAATGTTCTTCACCAGTGCACTAACAAGCACATGGTGCATTGGAGAGGATCCACTACCCTTCAACATGTGGATTTAGACCTTCCATCTTCAGAATCACAACCTCCAAATAGGTAGTGTTATAACCCAAATATCCAATTCTTGTGAAATAGAGTTTATATATATGTATATAGGATTTAGACTGTTCTATTGTGTCACATAGTTAGTTTTTCGAAGAGGTGCATAGAAAGTTGGTGAACATGGCTAACCTAGTCAAAATCAAGCATAGGATGGTCATTTGATTGATTCATATTTAGTAAGGGACTTAGATTCAGATCACAATCTGAATAATGTTTTTCATTTCTCGCGTATAAAAACAAGGACACAAGTTTATCAGTAAGGTACAAGAAAACAAATCCATACGTGTAGAAATGCTATGGAAGATACAAAAATCCAAGGGACTTCACATCATCTTCAATCAAAGGATAGAAACATGCACTAGCTAGTCAGTGGCTCAACTGAAGTTCTTGGATATTTAGCACGATCCTCATATCTATAAATCCAACAGAAGTGTGACACATAAAACTCCCACTTTAATTATAGCTTTTGTGAAATTCTTGTGGATCAGCACTGGTTGCAGAAAAGAATATGCTGTATGATTCCCAAGGATTAGCTGCTGGTGTCTAAATTAGCAGTAACAGTGATACAATTGTCTCTGTTTGGGACTTCAGGAGAATTAGGACCTAGGAAGCACACACAAGATACGTGTAGACTCAATATGGACACAGTGATATCACAATTTTTTACAGAATCGACATGGATAAGTCATGAATACGTCAAAATATAATAATATAACATATTATTTTATATATATACATATTCATTTTATCCATATAATCATGAAAGAAATCACTAATTTGGAGCTTCGTTTTTTTTTCTCCTTAAATTTTATATTATTTTTCTAATTAACCTATAATATGTTTCAAATTTTATTGAATTCCATTCCTAAATAATAATAACAATAATAATAATAATTACAAAATCATTCTGACATATCCTGAAAGTGTCCAACTCGTATCCTTACTGTGTCCCGGCGACGTCCAACCAAAATATATAATATTTAAAATTTATGACAATTCTAGCAGTGTGTGATGTGTACGGGCTGTGTCGGACACGTATCCGAGTGTCCGATACCGTCACGGCACCCTAAGAAAAGTGTCCATGCTTTCTAGATCAGAACCAAGTGTTGGTCTTGTTTATACATGATAGATTTCAACCTTAGGTGTCATTTCTCTCAAACACCTACTTGGATTCTTATGCTTATCATTCCAACCTTTTACCATAATTAGTTCAAAATTAAGAACCATAGTTATTACTATTACTTAAAAAGGTGTATAAATATCTCACATGATTTTATAAGAGCTTACAGCTTTAGATGTCAACGAATTCTGTATACATTTAAAGTACAGATTTAGATGTCATTGATTAGGTTAACCTTGTATGCATCTAACAAGTAAGAATTAATAATTGTTTTATACAACTTACAAAAGAAAACAGTTACCAATAATCCATGCAGGAGCAAGAGCCATCTCTGAAGTGATGAAATCGAGCACGGTCTCTAACAATAATCTCCACATTGAATATTCTGGAGATCAATTTCGTTACATTGTGACAGTCATTACAGACACGAAGGTTTTTGAATATCCGAATTGGTACCCCTGGTTTCATGTTTAAGAGCCCAAACGCAATGGCAAGTCTCTCGCTGTGCAGTTTAAGCGAATGTTGCTTTTCATCATCAGGTTCATCAACCATAGGTGCTTGTGAGAAGTCAGGTTCATATCCTATTGCTCCTAGTCTCTCTTCAATAACATCCAGAAGCTTATATATATCTTTCGTTTGAGGATGAGATGAGTCCCCAGCAAAAAATTCATGGTTGACACCATTAATCTCTATTGAACTACACCCAGGCTCTTTCTTCACACCCTTATCAGTCATCAACTTCCTCACCAATCCAACCTCATTCCACCAACTTGCTGACGCATAGACTCTGGACAGAAGTACATAAACACCACTGCAAATGTCACCTCCTGACTCAAACGCCTGCCTGGCAACTTCTTCACTTAGCTCGACACCTGCGTTTCTCTTGCAACAAGCATCAAGAAGGCTCCTCCAGATCACAGCATCAGGTTTCATGGGCATGTTTGATACAATATTTAATGCTTCGTCAATAAAGCCAGCACGAGCAAGGAGATTAACAAGGCAACCATAGTGCTCCAACACCGGTATAACCTTGTACTCAGTAATCATCATATCAAAATACTTGCGACCCTCACCAACCATGCCTCTATGATTGCACGCACTCAAAACACCGACGAATGTGATAGAATTAGGCATCAATCCTTCTTCATCAACCATTCGGGTAAAATACTCCAATGCTGCCCCAGCATGTCCATGCACCGCAAATCCCAGAATCATCCAATTCCATGAAGTTACATCCCGTTTATCCATCCTCTCAAAGACCTGCCGCGCTATCTCCAATGACCCACATTTGCAATACATATCCAACAATGAATTATTCAGCAAAACATCACTAGCTACATCAGAATCACAATTTCTCAAAACATAAGCGTGAGCCCACATCCCCAAAGACAAAGCCCCCAAATCACCACAAGCACTTAAAACACTCTGTATTGCATACCCATCTGGCTCAAACAACTTCTGCATCTCACCAAACAGTTTCAGCGCCTTATCAAACTCACCCAATTGAACAAAAGCATCAATCATAACATTCCACGAAACCACACTTCTTTCAGGCATATTCTCAAACACTTTCTGCGCAGACTCCAAACACCCACAACTAGAGTAGAAATGGACGAGACTATTGTTTATATACACATCCGAATCAAACCCAAGTTTCAAAACATGGCCATGAATCTGTTCCCCTTCCGATTTAGCAAACAAGTACGCACACGCTTTGAGAACAAAAGGAAACGTGTGGTTGTCTTGCGAAACACTTCCTTCGTTCAACATTTCATGGTAAAGTTGGATGGCTTGTTCTTTGCGGTCACTGCTACGAGCACAAGCTCTGATGAGAGTGTTCCACATGAAGGAATTGGGATTGCCAGCATGGTTAAAAAGTCGAAAAGCGTAGTCGAGGTCATATAAGGATAAGAAGTTGAGAATGCGACTGTAGAGAAGGAGGGTGTTTGGATTGTGGTTCGATGTAGTACGAAGGGTTTGCGCGTGGATTTGTTTGAGCTGAGACATGGTGGTACATTGCTTTAAGAAATTAAGCAGATGGGTATGGTGGTGGAAATTGTTGTCATTGTTCAAAGGGAGAGTATGGGAAGGCAGGCTTGGCATGACAGAGAGCACCATAGTTACAGATTCTGTAATAGGTTACACTACTACTCACACTAGTCGTCGGCTCATCATCCTTGGGCCCAGTTTGGTTAGAGGGCAATGGAAGGAAATGGAAGGAGGTGGAATATCATGTTTGGTATATATTCTCAGAGGAACGGAGGGTATCCGAATGAGATGATAAAAGATCAAGTATGAAGTGTTAGTTTTTTAATCCTTTTAAAAATGGGTAGAAATGGATGGAAAATGAAGGAAATATTAATATTTTTAATAAAACTTTATTAATACTAAATTTGTTCTTATTTATATAAAAGACAAAATTTATGAAAAATAATATTATAGTAAATTTAGAAAAATAATTTCATTTCCTTTCTTTCTCGAATATGATTACTATCATTTCCTTTATATTCATTTGTTAATTCACCAAGCATGAAAAATGGATGACAATATCCTCTCATTTTTTATTTTATTTTAATTTTTTTTTTTTTTTAACCAAACACGATAAATGTTATTACTTCTTTCTTTTCCACTCTAGCAAACATAGCCTTAGTTTCTAATCAATCGAGTAACATAGAAACCAGGCTAGAAAGAAAAGGGAAAGGAAAAGAGGAAATAGTTTATTTGGGTAAATTATATGGACCTATCCTACTATTTGCCATAATTATAGGGACCTCTCTTGTGACTTGGGAATTTATTCAGAGCTTTCTTAAAAATGAAACTATCCTACGCGGACTTTCTTTCTGTTACAGTCCACTTGAGTCAAGACGGATTTTACTAATGTCATGTCTTGAATGAAGTGAAATTTTCATATTACCCTTCGTTACACAGACCTGCTCAAGAGACTCCAAAGCAGTGAGCCCAAACCAAAAAACCTTACTAAGTCATCTTGAACACTCAACTTAGCACAAAGCTTTTAGGCCATGGAGACAATTCAAACTGAAAAGCCACATTGACTAGAAAAAAAATCTCACAGATGGTACCATAACTTATTTTAGATCAAAACATAACCACAAATGACTGCTAGATTATAGAGGAAATTTTCTGGCGGGATCTCAATATATTAATTACTTATTCAGAACAAAATATGTGAAGATTGTCTAAACATTCCAATTAACACTGCAAGAATACTACATGGACAATTCAGAATTCGAAGTATACAAAATGAAATAAGCAGAGCACCAAACACTCAAACAATGAGAATGACAATATCCCAGCTCCATCCTTTTTTTTGGTGTTAAATGAAGAATATAACACAGCATTATAATATGAAGAGAAGAATTTAAGTTCACAAATTACACATATGAAAGAAACTAATTAATATCATCTCACTCCGTTAGAGATGTATTGAAAACCACTTCACCAACTTCAGTTCCAAAAGCACCAATGTAATACCCCTATATTACCAAAGGACTTCGCCCTCCACGAGCTTCATTCAACTATGATTCCCGGTGAAATACAACCCCAACTCTGGCGAGCTTCGTTCCAATACACGTGGCCAAAAATAACTACAAAGAGCTCGATTTGGCACCAAACTCTCATCCATGGAAGTCGATCCCGGGCAACTATTATGATTTATGTATGGATATTTGATGAATTCCTCTATTTGCTCGCCGATTCAATCACTATCAACGCCGAATCATCCATTCGTAGTATCGCCACTGTTCGCCGTCGGAAGTTGTTAAGGCCAAAAAGCCCAAACCCGTTGCTGAGGAAGAGAAGATCTATGAATCGGCTTCTTTCAAGGAGGAAACCAATATGTTGGTCATTGGTTCTTTAGTTTGCTCTTTCAATGTCAAAAGAGTTGAGAGTCTCACAGGGTCCATTCAGTTCATCTATGTTGTTGTTCAAATTCAAAGACTTTACATTGCACCATTCAAATTGTTTCAAGGGTTGTATCACATGGTTTCTTTTAGCCGAGGTTCGGTGATGTCTCATCTAATGTGAACAAGGGCAGACTAGTATTTTCCGGAGTGATTCAGGTTGCTTCATATCACTGGAAGAAAGTACATTTCGCACTTGAAAAAGGTTCATCAGAGTTATATACTACCATATATGATATCTTGTATCTCAAGGGCAGTTTAGTGATTTTACTGGTTATTCACAAGGGTGTTTTAAATACCCCGTACTCTAAGGGTTAGTTTGGTGTGTTAGAATGAAATAAAACAATTGGAAGGAAATATATATTTTTTTATTTTTTATTTTTTTTCATTCTCGTGGTGCCAATTTTAAAGGTGGAATTATCGTTCCTCACTATTTTTGGAGAATGGTTATTCCATCAAAATCATTCAACTTTCAAATAAAATGAATGACCATTCAATTCTATTCTCATTCCATTCCAATTCATTCCACCACACCAAACTAACTCTAAGCTACTCAATTGTAGTACTCCAAACATTTTTTTTTTTTTTTGGGTCTAGAGCTCGAGCTCTAGGGGATAGAGCTCGAGCACTGGGTGAAAGCTTGAGCCTTGGGGTTAATGTTCAAGCATTTTTGAGCCAAAGCTCAAGCATTCTAGGGTAAAGCTCGAGCAAAATTTGGCTACGGTGACCAAGTCTCATAAAATAGGAAAGCTCGAGCATTAGGGGCAGAGATCAAACATTTTTTTGCCAAAGCTTGAGCATTGCACTATTCATTATTGTTTTGACAACTAATCTTCAAACAATTGTAATTTTCTCATATTAAACCCAAATATGGTCATTCTCGAGCCCAAATTCAAGGGTTTTAAGCCGGCTATCCATTAATGCAGACCCCACCCTCTTTATTTGGCCGAAAATGACTAATATACCTTTGTGTGTCCTTGGGTTCGGGTAGGGACCCAGTTAGTGTTTTAGATTTACGGGTTTGGGTCATTATAATAATTAAATAAGAAATATATATATTTACATTAACGTGAAATTTTTGTTATGTACTTTGTTGCGGAGTTGCTGCTGGAGAGGGAGAGTAGTAAGCAAAATATAGAAGGAAGAAGATGGGTTACTCAAGTCTGACTTAGTAAAAATGATATAATGTTCGTATTGAAGGGTTAAGTTGGCATTACGTACAAAATACAGGTCTAGTCGATCGAAAAGTAACCGAGAGTCAGATCTAGGGGTGAATGTGCTCACTTTTTGATCTACTATAATTGATATGCTCACTTTTTTTGTAAAGGAATTTTATGCTCATACGGTGAAAGTGGAGGGAGGTGTTTTGAACTTTTGCCTATTTTAAATTTATGACTACGATTAAAAAGTATTAGACACATATTCACAAATATCTAAGAAGTATTGGTATCTAAGAAATATTGATACTCCGTATTCAATAAGGACAAGATACATATAGGTCATCTTTATAGAAGTACATGTGCTTCCTAGAGTACCCAAACACATAGGCTCTACTTAGAGAAGCTTTCAAATTTAAAATTCCTTCCACTAAATGGACTTTGTATAATGCATTTTAGAGAAAAGAATTTTAAAACAAAAGTTGTTTGGATGATGCATTTTTTGAAGTTCTTCTAAATACTAACACATTTTAACTTGACAATTTTATCTTTAATAATTCATGAAGAGCACAAATGGGCTTTTATGGATCTGAAAGTTCTAGTTGCTGCATTTCGTAACTTTTTCGGAGAAGTTCATCTAAGAAGCAAGTTGTAGTTGTTTCTACCAAACGGGCTTTCAAGAAACTGAATTTCATCAAAGCCCATTTCAAATATTTTCCAAAGAACCAAACTTTTTGTGAAACGGATTATTTTGAGTTTAAAAAGCCCGTTTTGGGTCCCAGAAGCCCCGACAAACACTACCACAATGAGAGCATAAGAGGGATCAGGGTTCTTATTTGTGATGACTTATAGATCAACAACCTCTACCTTTATTATAGTTGAATTGACGTGAAATTCTAGTCGTATTCAAATCGTACACCGTCCATTTGTCGTCTAGCAACGACAAATCATCAGTTTCATTGTGATACACATAAATTACACACACATATTACACGCACTACACACTTCCACCCCCAAAGATACTTTTGGCGGCCAACCAATTCACTACCCTACTCGCCTGCACGTTCTCTCCTCACAACTTGTTCTTTCTTTTCTTAACTCTTTAAAATCTCACTCCTCAATTTGTCACCCCGTTCACACAATCTCATGAACCCTCCAATCCAAAAACGACACCTCATCACTACGCAGTCTACGCGTCATTTACGGATTATTTGGTGACAGTTTTTTCGTGAAAGCCTCTGTTACTTAACAAACTTCTCATTAAAATATCCCAGCAGACGCGTATCTTAGCGCAACATCCGCCTCCCCGCTAGCCTGCGCTTTCGTGGCAAAGTTAACCAACCGGCCGACACGCCGTGCCTTGTTCCGTCTCGTCTCTGATATAACCGTTAACAGAGCCGATAAAATTTCCTGAAACTTCTCGAAGCATCATATAATTGCCGTCCCCTACATCACTTCCACATTCATTCCATCATCAATATTCACATCAAAGGAGTCGTTGTTGTTTTAGAGAGAGAAAGTAGAGTGAGAAACCATGGGGGTCGATTACTACAACGTTCTGAAGGTGAATCGCAACGCGAGCGAGGACGAGTTGAAGAAGGCGTACAAGAGATTGGCGATGAAATGGCACCCAGATAGGAATTTGAATTCGACTCGCAGCGACGAAGCTGAGGCCAAGTTCAAGCAGATCTCGGAGGCCTATGACGTTCTCAGCGACCCACAGAAGCGTCAGATCTATGATATCTACGGTGAGGAAGCTCTCAAGTCCGGCCAATTCTCTCCGCCTTCTGGCGCCGCTCGCGGCGGCGGCGGCGCGGAAGATATATTTGCGGAGTTGTTTGGTGGGTCTGGTGATTATGTTGGTGGTAATGGAGGGAAGAATCGCGTGTTCGATGAGAGTGAGTTGAAGAAGAATTCTAATGGGGTTTTCGGAAATCGGAAGTCTGAAGCAGTGGAAAATAGGTTGGTGTGTAGTCTGGAGGAGCTTTACAAGGGTTCCAAGAGGAAAATGAAGATTTCTCGAATTGTTCCTGATCACTTTGGGTAGGTAATTCCGAATATATATATATATATATATATATATATATGAAGTCTGATTTTGATGTGGTCGGTTTATTTGAGAACAAATTAGATGTTATGAATGATTCTTGGAGATATGATTTTTTTGGGGCATTTACAATATGAATTGTGCAGTGCCCTTGAAAGTCCAACAATCACATATATAACTTACTTCCATTTTTGTTAAACAAGTTTATTAAATTGTATATGCCTGTGCTAGAACTAATGGATGTTGTATATATGTTATGTTAACAACGTTTATTGAATTGCATATTTTTGTGTTAAAAAAAAAAAAAAAATACAAAACAAAAAGAATTGCATTTTTTTATCTTAGAAGTAGTGGATGTTGTATATATGTTATGTAGCAAGGTTGACAAAGGTTTATTGAATTGCATATTTTTTGTCTTAGAAGTAGTGGATGTTTGTTTGTATGTATGATATATTATTCGGTTTTATTTTATCATCCGAACATTTGTGTCTATGTGGAGTATGTTTCGGGTGTTATCCAGCAACCTAGATTGTAAACCGTCTAGCTCCCCCTCCCCTAGTTTGCGGATAAAAAAAAAAAAAAAGAGATTCGACCAAAGAGGAACACTTGAAAAATTGTGAGTTTCTTACTTGGGACGAAATTCTCAATAATTGAGAATTGAGAATTTCGAGGAGACTCAAACCCGTATTCTCAAACTCTTGCAAAAGCTTCTTTTTCCCAAGAAACTAGGGTGCAGTTATCTTATTTCAGGTCAATGTAATTTCTTTACTTGTAATACCCTTTATTTTCTTGAGTGAAAGCCAATTAGTTCTCTGCTGCTGTTGATAGATAGTCTTTAGTTTGCAATTATTTGACAACAAAGGTAGAAGATGTTTCAGTAGCATGAAAACAGAGTTAGAATCTGAAATAACTTATATTAGACTTCACTATTGATTGCCTTCTGTTATTGCTTACTGAACAGAGTCGTTAATTTTCTATATATATTTTTTTCCTGTAATTGACCAACTTTTTGTATATTCCTCTATGGTTGTCGGTTGTCACATTATATTTCGAATTATTATATGTTTGCTAGACACAAATGGTAATCAAAATTTTCTGTCATGTTAGACTTATCAGAAACAAAATTTCTGTCATGTTGATTTTTTGGTTTTTGCAGCAAATTGTCAATTGGACCAGCTGTTGTTGGCAGCTAACATCTGACTGGAATCCTACATTTTACTCTTTTTATTTTTATTTTTTATCTAATTACTGTTTATTGCTTCATTTATTGCAAGGCTTGGAAGGGTGGCCATTGGAATTGGAAAATGACAGCATTATAGATGTGACGAGAAGTGTAAAATCCTATGTTCAGTTCATAGAATGTGTCAATATAGAGTCTAATAGCAGGCCTGGACTCGAGCTGTATGGTAGGACCACCTGTGCTTGTAGTCGGCCTCATAGTTCAGTCTCTATGGTTGGTCGAATCGCCATCTCCTTCAAAGATACATTCTGAAGCATTTTTCAAATACCAAAGTTTAGCATCTTCACACGAATTAGTGAATCAGGCAGGACCACCTGTGCTTGTTGTCGGCCTTGTGATCCTTTGGTGCACTCAGGCAAGACAGCGAGGGAGAAAAGTAGGGCATATGGGTTGTGGTTAATTCTTTGTTTGGCTATATTGATCCCCAAGATCTTAGTCACGAGACAAAAAAGACGAGCATCTGGGTGTTATTGTTTACATGGGTTCTTGTATATTTGTATAAAATGCCACATGCCCAAGTTACATGGTCCTATTATGAGTCAATATTCAGTGACGGGTTTGTGAGTCCTGACTTGGTACTTAACCATGGGTGACAAAAATATGAAGAGCAACTGTTGTATGAGTTAAATAACTAGAAATGTCAATCTTTTGCTGGAGCTTCATTTCTTATTTTTTCAAATTCAGAACGTGGATTAAATGGTATCATTTTCATTAAAGTTTTTCTTTGTTGATGAATATTCTTAGTTTGCATTCTTTTCTTCAATTGCAGTAAACCTACGACTGTTGACGAGATCTTGGCAATACACATCAAACCTGGTTGGAAGAAGGGCACAAAGATCACTTTCCCTGAAAAGGGTAACCAAGAACCTGGCATTGCCCCTGGGGATCTTATTTTCGTAGTAGATGAGAAACCTCATGCTGTGTTCAAGAGGTGCGGAAATGATCTGTTTGTGAATCCGCGGATATCTCTGCTCGAGGCTCTCATGGGGAAGCCCCTCAGCCTCATCACCCTGGATGGAAGGAATATCACAATTCCAGTAACGGATATTGTCCGACCTGGCCAGGAGATGGTGATCCCAAATGAAGGCATGCCCATCTCTAAAGAACCTGGGAGAAAAGGAAACTTGAGAATCAAATTTGATGTCCAATTCCCGACAAAGCTCACTGCAGAGCAGAAGTCTGATCTGAGGAGGATCCTTCATGAGAGCTGTTGACCAGTACAAGGTTCAACTCAAGGGTTGAAGATTATCGTTAACACTGACAATATTTAAGTTTAATTGAATGTAAATATTTTACTTGTTCATAAGAGATGAATTGTGAATATTAGGTAAGATTAGTGTGAAGCAGTGCTAGACATTCAATGTGTTGTAGCACCTCCGGGACTCAGCTATTTTAGTTACTGTTTCAGCTGTCACAAACTATTTCCTTTAATGTGAAATACGTATGATAGCAATCTATTAGTGTTCATCCAGTGGAATCTACCTAAAAAAGCTACATTCTTCTATTGCATTTTGGAAATGATAGAATCGCATGTCCTGATTGTTTGCTTTTTTCACACAGATACACGTACATAAATGATATAATTTTGGTATCATCCTTTCTGCGGTTCTAAATGTTGATGAAATTTTGCGTAGATCTTTAAAAGAAAAAAAGAGAGGAAGAAAACAAATGATTGATTTGGATGTGAACAATAGAAAGCAGCGGAGAAAGGAGAACCAAGAACAACTAACAAAACCACAAAATTCCAGAGGGGTACACTTTCCCCAAGATTGAGCTAAGGAGACTCCATGCAGCTGCTGTTGATCGAGAGCTCTTGCAGTCAGTGAACTTCATAGATAGAAGATGGTTTCGGATACAATCCACAATGAACTTACAGGTCACTTCAAGAGGAACGTGCTTCCTTGTGAAGGTACGATTGTTCCTTTCCTTCCAAATGTAATAGATACATGCAAAGATGCATAATTTGTAAGTGGATGCATAATTGGATTTCGAATTAGTGCTCCATAAAGATGAAATTCAGTTAGCAATGTAGATGAAATTGGGCTCCTTACAGTAAACACCACATCTCTGTTGAAAGGGGGAGGACATTCATGTATAAGCCCTTTAGAACCTTTGAAAAATTTCACCATTTATAGAGAATGAAAATGTTGGAATAGAGAAGATGTAGGCTCTTATCCAGTAAACGAAAATAAGAGGACACTGGAGAATAGTCAATGTGTCCAATAAAAAATTTGAGTTTGACAGAGTCATAAGGCTTCTAAAGGTCTTTCTTTAAAGTACACTTGGGGATAAAAGAAGAGTTATGGTACCTTTTCATAAGCTGTTAAGCAATAAACAGTTTGTACACTACAACAGTTCTGGCTTTTACCAGCGCTCAAAAGCGCTGGTAAAAGTCTAAAAAAGCGCTGGTAATTCAATTACCAGCGCTTTACCAACGCTTTTGAAAAAGCGCTGATAAATCTAGTGTCGGTAGGCTTTCACCAGCGCTTTTCCGAAAGCGCTGGTAAAGTCCTTTTACCAGCGCTTTTCCAGAAAGCGCCGGCATAGAGTATAAATAGAAGTGCCTTTAAGCAATATTTGTTCTAGATTTTTATGAATTTTATTCATACGCAATGATATAAATATAAGAATTCTCATTCTATAAATTGACATGGTATAATAATACTCCGTATTATAAAAATCTCAAATCAAACCCACCTGATCTTGTTTATTGCTTTGGCTATTTCCGTATTCCCGGCTTGATAACGGAATTTCTTCCCCTACGCACTCGAAGCCGAATTGCTTCAAAATCTACTTAGATGATGTCTGGAATAGGAATGGTTGGGTTGGGAATAGGAAGACAGAGAGAGTGATGGTTCAAGCTTTCACTTGAAGAAGTTTGAATCGTTGACCGGTAATGGAAGGGCGCGACTGGTGATGGAAGGGCGAGACCGTGATGAGAGAGCTGTGATGGAAGGCGAGAGAACGGCTGAGATGGGCAAGAGAACGGCGTGATGAGAGAGCCGTGATGGAAGGCGCGACCAGTGATGGAAGGCCGAGACCGTGATGAGAGAGCTGTGATGGGCGAGAGAACGGCTGAGAGAGCTGGGATGGGAAGGCGTGATGAGAGAGCTGTGATGGAAGGCGCGACCGGTGATAAGAGAGCTATGATGGAAGGCACGACCGTGATGAGAAGGTGAGAGAACGGCTGATGGATTAGGGCTATTGCAAAATGCGATTAGGGCTATTGCAAATTGAAATGGGAAAGTAGAGAATAGTATGTTAATTCCCCCACAAAACGACATAGTTTTAGGGCCCAAATATTCTATATATAAATGGAGGGAAAAAATGGAGGGGAGGGAAAAAAAATGGAGGGGAGTGGAAAAATGGGGACAATATACCAGCGCTCCTACAAAAAGCGCTGGTACTATTACACCTATACCAGCGCTTTTGAAAAAAGCACTGGTACGATGACACCTATACCATTACACCTATACCAGTGCTTTTTTTAGCGCTGGTAATATTAGACCTATACCAGCGCTTTTTCTAGAAGCGCTGGTAAAAACCTAATATGTTGTAGTGGTACTTGTCAACAATGGTAGGCAAGATAGGTTGTAACTTCATAGCAAGGAGCTTGGAGATGACTTTGTAAATAATGTTGCAACAAGAAATACGTCTAAAGTCATTATAGTTATCTGGACTAGGAGACTTGTTACTATTGAGGGAAAAGAAACAAGCTTTGAGATCATCCAAAGAAGGAATGACAGCATGGGATTCAAAGAATTGAGTGGGAACAATTTTAGAGAGACTCCACTCTGGGGTAAACTAATGACTCTCTTCTAAGCAAATTCTGAAAATGATCAACTGCTACAGCCTTGATTGTAAGGATTGAGTTTGTAGTCTCTCCATTAGCAAAAGTTAGACTAACAATCTTCTTCATATTGCACTTGTTATTAAAGGTCTTGAAAAAGAACTTGGTATTCATACCGCCTTCTTTAAGCCAGTTGACTATGGCCTTTTGAAGAAGGAATTGTTCCTTTGCAATAGATAACTGATGGTAGTTTTGAAGACACCTTTTAGTGTTCTTGAGTTGATTATTAGCAGGATCCATATCAAGATCGATACGATCAATATGAGTTCAAGGACTCTGGTAGAGATGTCACAACATTTTTCTTGTTCATCTTTAGCTTGTGCTTAAGAATCTTTAGCTTTCTTGTGACATGGAACATAGTAGTGCCCTGTATGTTCTGAGACCAAACCGAGGCAAACTTTGGTGAGAAAATTTGTGATTACCAATAAAGTTAAAGAATCTAGAAAAATTTTGTGATTACCAATAAAGTTAAAGAATCTAATTGGCAGGTTCTTCTTTGGTAAAATGATCCCACTTTTGACAATCATAAGGGAGTGAACAGAAATTCCATGTGGTAGGAACTCATAGCCATAGAGAGGAAGAGGAGACAACCATTTATCATTGGCTAACACCCTATCCAACTTCCTACATACAATAGCATTACCGGTGTTTTTGTTTGATCATATTTGGAGAGTACACCACTGTACCTCAAGTCAGTAAGCTCAACTATTTGAATGCATTGATTGAAATTAGTCATGCTACTAGTCCATCTATGAGATCCACCATAGAAACCAAGGAGAGGGAGAAAGAAGAGGAGCTTAGGCTTTAATATCAGACTATATGGTATTTCTTTGGATGGTTGTATTGTAAGCATAAAGTGGTTAAGGTCATCAATAGTTGCGACGTACACTACAGTGAATGGCCTGAGCACTAGTAGAGACATCTGAACCCTGAGTTAATCAGTGTTGTGCAAAATCCAGATTCTACCAAGGGATGAAAAGAATTAGTTATGTAGTAACTGCCAAGAGGGAGCAATGTGCTTATGCACAGAATCAATGTTTATTTGCTGGATTTTTGTTTCAAGAATAACAATAATCTGAAGGTTGGACTCATTAATGAAAGCCTTTATTTGTTGTTGTTTTTCAGGGGAATTAATGATCGGTCTCGTCGACTATCACAATAATAATCAACCATTTGCAATAGCACAAGTCATTGTAAAATAGGGCAATTGGACGGGTAAGTCGAACCACTGGGATTGCTAGTTTATGGCAACCAAGGTCTTATAAAATCACTTTTGGTTTGATGAAAGAGGTATGAGGTTTTGTTTGATTTGTCACTTGATAACTAAAATTAACAATTGCATAAAACAATAATTTGCAAGAAATTAAGAGGAAAGGAATTTAGGTAGAGAGGACTAGGGAAGTGAATCCGCTACCTACCCTATAAACATGCTAGAAAATGATTTACATGGGAGAACAATATACATAAGTGGTCATGATATGTAGCTACACATGGTTGCTACATTATCTTCAAGAAATTCATTAAATCAAAAGGTAAGAATAACCTATCAAAGTTTCACATGCTTGAACTACCTAAACTAGGGTGTAGCCTTAGACATGCTCACTAAGTTAGAGATTATTAAGCCCTTAATCAAATAATAAAAGTACATGAAATCAAGAATCAAGATCAATCCATTAAAGGGAGGCCGTAAGCTATGGACTAACAAGGTTTTCATAAAACATGCCATTAAAACCATTTTGCAATCTCATTTTCATTGTCACTATAAAATTGCAAGCTATACAATCATGAGAAATTATGATCGAAGACAAGATAATAGCTTCAACATAATCATTTATAGAGATTTATATCCATTACAACATGCAATGTGCTCTAGATTGCAAAACTACCATAAATATACATTCTTTCCCAAATTAAACCCAAAACTAAGGCATGCTTACAAAGTAGGGCTTCATCACCTCCCTAGAAAGGGAGTTAGTTACCCATGGATGCAAGGGAGGAAGGAGAAGAGAGGAGAAAACCTTCCATTTTCGCACCTAAAGGTCAAGAACAACCCACACACTCAAGAACTCAATATTTCTCTCTCTAGAACCTTATAAAATGTGTGATTCTCAATAATACATGCTTTAAGCCTCTTATCTAGCCAAAAATATCCTCCCAACCACTCTATTTTTGTGGCTTATCATCCCTAGAAGAGTGCAGAGCCACATAATGGGTCAAGGGGGCAGCATTGGATGAAACAATGCAGCTCACGCACATTTGTCTGCAGATTGGCGGGCGTCCGAGTGCCGCGCAATCGGCGGGCGCCCGCGTTTTTCTAAAGATTCTGCCTATTTGGGCGGGCGCTTGCGGGTTCATGGCGGGCGTCCGCCATGCTTCTGGGCTCTGCACCATTATGCTTCAAAAACCAATCTTTGCTTGGTCCTCTGGTGCAGTTATCTTTCTTAGCGCTTTGCAGGGACAACCATGAGTTCGTTGAGTCACTGGCTTGGTCAAAATGAAGGTTCCCGGCAATGGCGTACTTTAATCTTCAAAAACTTATCAAAGCGTCACTTTTAACTCTCTTTGGGGAACCAACCTGAAAATAGACAAAAGCATGCAAATAAAACTAATATATATA